CAAACAACAAGATTCATGTTAATATTACTGTAGTTACACATACATATATCAAACAATGGTTTTTAACATATATCATCCACCTAATAAAATATTTATAACAAATAAAAGTATTTACAACATAGAAAATACTAAAATTTATAGAAAATTCTAAGTTATTGTTCAAAATATACTAAAGCATAGATCAAAATATATTCATCAATATAACATGAATCTATCATAAATTAAGCAAATCTATAAATAAAATTCTCTTCAATTATCTCTTTACAGTTCATTATAATTTTTCTACAAGAATTTTTGTTTTTCATTGTTTCAAGTGTTTTTTTATTCATTTTTTTTCAACCATTTATTTTTTTTATGCATCAAACTAGTGCCACAAAATTTCTCATCAAATAAAATAGTTAAGGTTCCCCTTGACACAAAAAATCATTTAGCAAAATATTTTCTTAATTTATGAATTAATACTTTTCCCTTGCTTGGTTTGACTTTTTTTTTCTGGTTGTATACTTGAGTGGATGATTCTTCTCCACTTTTGTACTCATTGTCACTTTAGAAGCTTCTTCCTTAACTCCTTGATCAGCCTTTACACGTGCATAATGAATCTTAAAAGATTGAGGGTTTCTATTTAATCATCTTGGTGGGGTTGCTTAGTAATTGTTTATGATTTTCTTGAATATTTCATGGGTTTAGTAGTGGAATAGGCTAAAACTTGATTATATGGGGTTAGAATATTAAGTGATAGTTTTTCTCAAGAGTGAATGGAAGTAAAATTTTGCTGTTTGTAAGTGAATAAGTCAAGTAGCTCCTAAGGTTTCCTTATATAAGTATGAAATGCCATTTCCTGTTGCATATATTTTTGAAATTTTTGTTTTGGCTGAACATTCCTGGATGGCTTACAACTACTTTCTAGAGTCTATTCCATGTGTTTTTGCTTTGTAAGTTGGCCCTTTTTGAGCTCTTATTCTACGTGAAAATTTACTTTCAAAGTCCTAAGCATGCTTAGAAAATTTTGAACCATGATGTTATGTTATTAGACTTTGTATTTGCCTTAGTTTGTTCCTAACTCTTTGATTAATTGAGTCTGGTTCTCTCACTTATAATGACTGCAATGATTGGTTAATTTGGAAAGGTGTTAGTCTTGATTTAACTAGATAAGTTAGTAAGGGATAATACATTGACTTAAGTCCACATCCTTGCATCATAGCTTGAAATTTTGGTAAACTCAAGCTCTTCTGTCATTGGCTCATCAATCTAGCTAAGCTCATGCTTCAATTATATGCACTTAACTTCTCTTTCTAGTGGATTCAGCTGTGCAAATAGGTTGGAATGTAAAGTCTTGAATTGTTGACAACTTTGTTATTAAATTGGCCTAAATTCACGTCATTTGCTGACTGTTTTTGTGATATTTTTGGTGAATTTTTTCTTTGGGTTTTTGAACTTCCTCTTACCTGTCCAATATGCTCTTTCACTAAGTAAAATATCATAAAATTATGATTTTTTTTTTCTAGTCATGAACTTATACAAAATGAGACAACATTTTGGACTATTTTCCATTTTTTACCAAATTTGTAATTTAAATTTGATTTTTTATTTTTCTCACAATTAAATATAATCTCAATATACTATATCATATTATGCTTGCATTGGGTTTGATTTTAGATAAATTTCACTAATTGTGTTCCAATTTCTAAAATCTTATCTATTTTATAATTTTGATTTAATTAAATTAATAAAATTTCTAATTAAATAAAGATTAAGGAAATTTTGGATGTCACACAAGATTCATTTTATTTTTCTCATTGTAATCAATAATTTCAAATATATATTTTGAATTCAGCTGTCAAACTTGATAATAATAATAATAATAAAAATACTTGTATTCATCCAAATAGGACCATAACTGTATATACCTCCTCGTAATAAATTACTAATTACCAAATCAAAAACCAAATCGCCAATTTGTTTATTAGATGGAAATGGGTGAGACATTGATTTGCATGAGTTTGGTTGAATTGAACATTAATGGTTAAACCTGTCCATCTTAATCTTATTTAATATTTGTGTAAAGAAAACAGAATAATGTATAATTTATATTTTAATGACAAAATTGTATTTTTAGTAAAAGTAACTTAATTTTTAAAAATTAATTTTTTATTTAACATTTTAATAGAAATATATATTAAAAAGTTGAATTTGTCTGATGTATGCTAAAAGTCAAATGTTAAAAAGTTAAAAATATTTTTTATTAAAAATAAAAATATTTATAATATCAAATTTATAGAAAGATAAAATACATATTTATTAAAACTAGGTGTCAAACTCAAACACTTACACAACTTAACAATTTAAAAATTTATCATTTATTACAATAAAATACTTAATAATTTTATTTTTTATAAAATTTTATAAAGTTTATTTACTTAATAAAAAATGTTACACTAACATATTATTTATCTCTCGTTTTATAAAAGGATTATGAATAATGTTATTAAATTTTGACTAAAATATAATATTACTCTAAATGTTATGCATATTAGAATAATAAAACAAATAAAATAACATTATCTTATCTAACATTAAAAAAATGAAAAAAAACATATAAATTATATTTGAATGGAAAATTACTTTTTTTATTAAAAATAACATATTTTTAAAATTAATTTTTAATTTAACTTTTTAATAGAAATGTGTACGCCCCGAATTTTGGTAATATAAATTATTATTATTATTATTATATATATATATATATATATATTTATGTGTGTGTTAATTCATTTGATAATGATGTTTATGTGTATTAAATACATGGATGTGTGTATTTATGTGTATGCATGACTGGATAGGACTGAAATGTGCTAAGTGCCTAAGTATAGGACGTAATACTGAGCTGTTTTCGCTGCAGCGAGAGGATTCTCGCTGTAGCGAAAGGGCCCTGGGAGGAAGGATCAAAATTGTCGCCTTCTCACTGTAGTAAGAGACGTCTCGCTGTAGCGATAGAGTAACAGTTTGGAGTGCATTTCTGGATGCAGTCTCGTTGTAGCAAGATTCTGCAGAAACCAGAGTGCAATTTCGTCTGAGATTTTCGCTGTAGCGAGAGTGTCGCGACCAAAAAAGGATTTAAAAGGAGTTAGGGTTCGGGGAGGGTTATTTCTCCTTCTCCCTTCGAAATTCCTTGGATTCTCTCATTTTCAAATCCTTTTCCACTGATTAAATTGCTTCCAAAGTCGTTCGGGAGATTGATTGAAGGTTAAATTCGTCTGGGGAACGTTTGGAGGTGAGTTTTAATGGTTAGGATTCTGTTTCTCATACCCTTTTATCAGTTTCTCAGTTTCTTAGAGTTCTCATGGAGTTCTTCTATGTGTTTTAGGTTACAATCTGTGTAGGGAGCACGTCTGTGGTCGAATCCGAGTGTGGGTCTTCAGTCTAAGGTAAGGGGGACTCTATCATACTCTTTTGTGCATAAATTGCTATTATTTTCCTTAATATTGTGTTGTGGCTGAGTTAAGGGGTAGAAAATTGCTGAGAAATGTAATGTGGGCCATGTGCCGTGATATGTGAACATTATGTGTATTGACTCGAACTCGATGGATGTTGATTATATGTAAATATTGTGTAATATAGATGAATATTGGCTATGTGTCGTGTAATGTGAATGCAATGTGGGCTATGTGTCATATAATATGAACGATAATTGTAGGCTGTGTGCCGTATGTAAGCATGATTACTACATGCGTGAATGGAATATGTGTGAATGAGCATGTTAACGCAGTTGTAATGTGTTGTGAATGGTTCAACGATACACTGGGAGTATGAGAGATGAGGACGTAGAAATACCTTGGGGAAAAGGAAGTGGTGGTGACACCAACTGTGGAACGGGTGCACCACGGGCTACACACTCTCTTCCTGACTAGACCTCTGACCATTACCTTTGCTGAGCGACCCGTGATTGCACACGTGGTATTCGTGAGGCGGGGGTAACCGGCGACCATTCATGGTGTAAATCTGTGATCACAGTGTCACATTGAGTGTAGCTGGCGTGCATATGCATGAGTTTATGTATTGTACTTATGGATGTGAAATGTTGTCGATGCCATGAGTGCATCGATGTTAAATTGACATGAGCTGTGTGATAATGCTGCTTGTAATTGTGTCTGTTTAATGTATCGAAAATGTTCTGGAGGTGAGACTCTACGTTGATTGTGTGTTTTTGAGTGGTGTAAAGTACTCACCTTTACATTCATTTTTCAGGTAATCAAGACAATCAGCACTGGACTTAGTGAAGGGTGGATGAAACTGCTATAGGACTTAAGATATCATTTTGAAAACTATTATATTTGAATAAGTCATGTAGCAACTGTTTGATATAATTTGTAATTCATTTCTTTATTTGAAATGTTTGATGAACTTGGATTGAAAATGAAAATTTTATTATTTTAAAAATTTGTAAAATTTCTTATTTATTAAAATTAAATTTAAGGTGTTACAAAATGTATATTAAAAATTTAGTTTTTTATGTGTGCTACGAGTCAAATGTTAAAAAATAAAAAAATTATTAAAATAAAAACATTTACTATCTCAAATTCATGAAATAATAATTAATACATACTTCTAAAAATAATTTAGAGTATTTAATAAATTATGTTTAATATTTCCTTAGACACACATTATAAAAAAAATTAAAATATTTAAAACATTTTTATGTATAAATAATATTAAAATTATGATATTAAATTATAATTAAAATTTATTTTTGTCATAAATTATAATTAAGATACAACTAAATTTAAAAATTTAAATTGTATTTTGTAAAATGGGTAAAATATTTTTATAAAAGATATTATAAAAAATAATAAAATATATTTTTATTCCATAACCTCTCTAAATAATAATTTAAATTATTAAAATAAAATAAAATAACTCAGCTCAACAAAATAAGAAATCTGATCTTATTGTTTAAATACTAAAATAAAATATACTGGAATAGGCTATCCTATGATCCAAAAACGATTAGGAATAGGAGGAGCAGGTTGGCATAGTCTTATCTGTTTGTATTCATTATTTATAATTGATGTTAGGGTTAGTTGGATAGGCTCATCTCTGCTCAGCATTCATGGCGAAGAAGGGGAAGAAGCAACTCATGTCTTCAGCGCCATGGAGGGGCGAAGACACCGAAGATTTCCAAGATGCAAAGCTCAAACTCACGAGCCAGCCCGGTACTACTTCAACCATGCACGTTCCTCGCACCAAGTCCAATCATCCCCAACAAGACGACGATTCCATTGAGATTGATCCTGAGCTACGCTACAGCTTCCAGCGCAATTTTCAGGTTTCTTCTCTATTACAGGACCCCAAAAATCTTTTTCACCCTTATTCAACCTTTCAGCTATGTTGCTCTAGGAAATTATTGCTTATTATTGTCCGCATTTGGTTGAGAAAGTAAATATTTTATTTTTAAATTTAGAGTATTGTATAATACTTGTAAAAGTAAATGAAAGATTAACCCATTTAAGTATATGCTAATTTATCATTTTATTTCATTTATTTTAAAATTTATGAAATTAGTGAATGTTCCCTAGAAATGAAAAGTTCCCCCCTCCCCTCTCTCCTTTCTAAAACATTCTGCTATAAACTTTTGTTATTAGAATTTGTGTCTATGTGTATTACATGCTACTGCTACCCCTTTGTCAATTCTCTTATGTTATCAAAGAATAAAGTTATTTCCTATTATTATTGTTGTTACCGTGTTCTGTACAGATGAATTGATGAAGCATTTAGTAAACTTCTCCAAGTTTTGGTTGTAATATATTTTTCGTATAATGCAGTTTCTTCAACGTGTTTTTAGCATTGACACTGTGGTGAAACCTCTTCCTCCTGCTATGGCATACAATGTTTCTCGCAACTTGAACTTCTTCACACGCATTTTCACGCAATTCTTTGGTATGTTAGATTCAGGGCATCTTTTTCCACAGCTGAGGATTGAATTGATTATTATATATATAGCCAAACTGCTCCAATAATTGTAAGCATCACTGTTCATTTCCTTTTAGAACAAACTATAAAGGTCAAATATATATCTACTGTAAGTTTTTCTCCCTCGTTTTAGTCTAGTGTTGAGATTTGAATGCTTTCCAGATATTTTTGTATGGTTATGATAAAGCTAAACCCTAGGCTTTGTTTGAATGTCTGATTATATGTGGAATTAAATAGAATTGAGTAAAATGACATGTAATGGAAGAATAGAATAAAATTGCCACACCTTTGTTTGAATATTTTATGATTAAACAAAGTAAACTTTTCATTCAATTGTTTGGGAAGTGAATGGTATGGAAAAGGCATTAGTAAACAATAAGTTGGCTCCATCCCATACTTCAACATATAGTGAGAGGGGGGAATAAGGGCCTCTGCTGAAATGGGATGAAATAGTTTTCATCAAGTTTCATTTTACTCCACCATATTTGTATTTTCTAAATATCAAAGCAATGGTAATTAGTATCATTCTATCAATGTTTCCTCCATTATATCTCTTTCTATCAATTCAACTGTAGCTCTGAATCTTTGCTCTCTTTTCTTCTTTTTTGCTAAGCCTTCAAGTAATCTGTTATTAAGTGCTATCCTGTACTACTTTATGTATGCATAGCAGTCTCAACCATTTTGGACTTTTATGTTTTATTATATATTATATATCTTCTAAATTGACTAGCCTAGTTTCTTTATGACTTGTTTGGAATATGAACTTATTAATGTGAATAATCTATGATGGTCAAAGAATTATCGGTGATAATTCACATTCTTCGTTGGATTAGTATTTTAACTACGTTTATTTTGACTACCAAGTATTTGTTAATCTTTGATTTGTTCTTGCATTTTGAGTACAACAAATAACTTTCAAACCTGACATAATGCCCCGTTTTTGTTAAATATTGTTTATGCTGCAGATCCTGAAGGCATTGCAAATGCCCAGAAATCCTTGGGCATAGGACAGGAAGATAAAGTTCGCAAAGTTCGTTGAAGATAATCGAGGAAGACACCAAAAGGAAAAGGAATGAAAAACTAAGGGAAGAACTTATTTTGGATATAGAAGTATTATTTGTGATTAACCTTCCCTGATATGATCATTCTTGGAATTATTTAGCTTGTTTGGTATGAAATTCAATTTTATATGTAACTAGGGACATAAACAACTCGATTTTAATTAAATACTTAAGGTTCTTACTTGACTTTGAAAAAAATTATGACATATGCAATTTTTGAGATAAATGAGATAAATTTAAATTTTAGTTTAACTTAGAAAATATATAAAGCTTGAGTTTGGTTTGCACCGATAAAAAAAACTAGAGAGCTTGGTTTGTTTAGTTCATCGAAGCTTAATTATTTATTAAAATATTCTTGAAATGATATTTTGGTTTATTTGAAAATGAGGTAACAAGTAAGAAGAAAAAGAGAATAAAATAATGAAAGTAGCTCTAATCTAATTGATTTTCATAAGTAATTCAACTTTGAAATTCTCTATTAGATAAGTTAAATGAAATGTTATTTTTAATAAAATAAAATCAATGACACTTTATATATACTTAAAGAATACAGTCAGTGCAATCAAACGGAGAATGCACTGACTGGTTTAACTAAAAATCGGTTAGGTAGCCTTCAAACTGATAAAAATTGATGCAATTTGAGTGATTTTGATGCTACATTGATGAACTGTCTGGGAGTGAGTCGGGCAGGTTGAACATTGTAAGAGTGGATGCAATTGCCTCAACTCTTTCACTATCATTAGGCTTGAACTAGAAGTAGAGCATTTTAAGCTCCTAAATGTTATTGTTGGCCAGCAATTCGAAACTATTTGTCAATATACGTATCCGCAATTATGAGTTACTGGTATATCAAAACACATCTTTGTCGACTGTTAGTTGGTAATCCATTGTTGTTTTTCAACTATTTCAAAGCTTGAGACATATACGAAGCACACGTGGAGAGAGAAAGGTGAAGAAAATAACAGTACAAGAAGAACGGAGGCAGAGGAGGGGAGAGACAGAGAAAGAGAGGAGAGAAAACGAGGAGCAAGGACAAAGCAAGACCTTTTTTTTTTCTTTTTTTTTTTTCCAGAGGTCAAATAAAAAGATTAAAAATATTTTAAAAATTACTATATTATATTTAACTAATAATTAATTGATTTATACTGATAAAATGTAAAATAAATAAAATTACAATATTCATTTATGAAAATTGAGCTTGACAACACTTTATATAGAGTCAAATTTATCAATAATTAACTTTGTACTAAAAAGACTATCAATGTCCTTTTTTTTCAATATAAATAATTAAACTACGTGAAACTCTATTTTATTTTATTTTAAAATCTTTTCTTAACAATCTTTTATGGTTAAAAAGACTTTTTCTATTATTGTTGTAGAGATTGAAAGTGTTAAAATAAGATAAATAAATTTATCAATTAAGTGATAATTTTTTATATATTTTTTTATCGCTGTTAATGTATGACATAAGTCCGACATTGTTATATCTTAAAAACTTTTATGGTATGATATATTAACTATATAATGTCTTAATTATAATTTTAGATTAAATATTTCTTTTTCACAAATCGTGGAAATAACGATTTTTTGCTAACCTACAAATATCATCCATTTAATGTGTTGGTTAAAATCTCATATTGTGTATAATAAAATGGTGAGAATAGTATTTCTAAATTGGCAAGGGCTTAATAAAAAAGATTAATATCTCTAAATATCAATGATTATATTTTACCAAGTTTCAAAATACCAATAAAGATGGGCCATAAAAAAAATAATGAGGCCATAAAAAATTGTATATCTATATAAGTAAGTTTCTGTTTAGGCCAAGGTCCCCTCGTCGGTTAAGAAGGCTTTGCCAACGTCGAGGAGAGAGTACAGAAATCAAGTAAAAGGCAAATTCTAAGGGCCTCGTTTAGTGTTCAGGATAAAGGTAAATATAATAGGATAGAATTAATTTACCCCAAAACCCTAAATGTTACTGATGGATTGAAATTTCCGGACTTTGGATTGCATTTTAACTGTCATAGATCATATCCCTCTCCACCAAAGTCGCTTTAGCAGTGAAAAATTTGAAGTGAAAATTGGAATGGTTTAGTGGCAGGATGAAGAACAAACAAGAGCTTACAGTTGGATGATTGATCATGAATGGTTTAGCTCATTTTTTTAGATGATAATAATGCATTATTAAGGAAAAAAAATTGCAAGTCACTCTATAATAAAAATAAAAATATATAGTTAGTTTTTATTGAAAATAACTTTATATCAGAAAATCAAATACATTGATAATATTAAATACTACAAAATTTAACAAAATTTACTTTTCATTGATTTGTTAGTATACCCTTACGAATATGATAAAAAAAATCATAAATTTTAAAATAAAATAAAAGGTAAATAAAAGAAAATTGTGAAATTGATTTATCGAATTGTCAATAACGCCGCCACAGCATCAGCTTTCTACCAACACATCATTGGGTAACAATATAAAATAATTTTACTAACGCCAAAATTAATCTGAGACTATATACATTGTACAAACTACACGGGTTCATTTATGTAAATAAGATAGAAAAGATACAAACAGATAAGATTCAAGGCTTCCACAACTTCATTGTGCAGTCTTCACTGAATGTTGCAACAAGATTCCTATGGGGATGATGAGTGACACCTATAACTTCTTTCTCATGGACCTGCCATTACCCAGATATTTCAATAAATCCTAAAAACATTATATATCAAGATAACAGCATCCTCAGCAGAAAATTAGCATTTTCCATAAGAACAGAATAGGTGGCAAACACAAATACCAAATAAAGAAACGCTAATTCAGAGAAAGTAACACTATATTATACAGATCTAATCTCATACTAACTCAACAAACATACCTTCATTAGATGCTCCAATTTGCCAGATTGATGGCTGAAGCAGTACATATTCCTACATTTAATGCACATCCCATTAAGAATCAAGAATATGACAACTTTTGGAAAGATTATTGGAGGATTAGAAAGATTATTTCAACAAAAAAAATACTGATTTGGTAAACCTCGTTGAACTCACCGTAAAGTTGCTGTTAAAATAGGCCAAGTTTTAATGCTTAAGGAATATAGGAAAATTCCAATCATAAAGCGTACGTGATGATATAGTATCTATAAAGTGCTAACATCTTTGTCTACCATATTACATGAAGGAGCTTTCTCATGTTATAAAAAATTCGGGATACCTGTCTTCACCAACACAGTAAATCCATTCTCCTTTAGGTGAAACGCAGGCTGCAACAAAGTCTCCACCCTCTCTTTTACCAGATGAGAAGCTCTTTACAACCTACCAATTGACAGCCAAAAGCATGCTCAAAATAGTGATGATCATTGAGCACATAAAAACCTTAGACGTATAATTATCTAAAAATCAATTGATACAGTCTCAGCAATATTTTGGTCCAGATTCAACATATAGCTCACATTATGTGTCACTATCATTTTTTCATGTTTAACAGTAGCACATACTGCTAAAACCTAAAGCATTGAACAAAATATATATCCAAATTCTACTTTTAGAATGACATCAAAAAGTTGTTTCACAATTAATATAGGGCAAATAAGAATATCAAATTCCATGAGAATGGCATAATTTGAAACATAATTCTCATTTCTTGCTTACTTTATGGTTTTTTATGAAAGGGACACTCACACAAACTCCATATTGTAAAATGTAAGAAAATACTTCCACAAACAAAATTTGGACCATCCTACAATGACAAAAATGTACTCAAAATCATAATTACCAGTATAACTTTGACAACATCTCTGAAAAACTTTATTAACCATGTTAAAATAATAGAACTTTTAGGAAAAACATTATAATAATAATAATAAACTTGAATGCATAAATAAACCAAGAAAATTTAAATTGAAATTTCCAACACTAGCAGCACTTTTGCATTTCCCTTGCACAAAAAATTAAAAAGAAAATAATTTCATTTGTATATAAAAAAGATGGAGACAATACCATCAGCAAGATGTTGAATTAGTGGTTTCAAAAAAAATATATCCCAGCTCCTAATAAGTGTCTGCCTTTTGTGAATATCAAACTAAGTCCAAGCATAAACATTATATATGTAGTAGATTGACATATCAAACAAAAAGGCTATTTAGTGCAGAAAACTCCATCCTCCCCAAATTTAGGAAGTTTCAGATTTTGACAAGTTTAGAAAGCTAATCCTAAACAAAGAATAAGCTAACTGTAAGCACGAGTGAAGTAGAAAAAAAGCGGAAAAGTGAATTATATTATGTGTAAAAAGTAATATTCACATAAAAAAAGAAACCATAACTTGGAGGGTAGAAACATTTGTACCCTTTTTTCTCAGGTGCATAACCCAAGAAATTTGACAATACAAGGATCAAGTTTAGTATAATGTTGATGAAAATGGACAAACACCTCGCAACCAAAGACCCAAAAAATTGAAGATTCAGCCTAATCGAAATATGGGAAAGAGGTCACACGATGTCTAGAATTTACATTGCTAAGAACCCATGAAGGAAACCTATTTAAAGATAAGCAGCAGTTAAGATTAGCTTCTAATTTATGATTTTGGAATAGACATTTGGAACTATTTATAAAACAGGACCTAATCTACTCCCAAAAGTTAACTCCAAGGAGGATGATTTTAAGACTCTCCTCACGACTAGGAAAAAGACACCTGGTCCAACAGTAAAATTGAAGTCTTTGGTACCATATCAAAAAACAGATTATGCCTAACCCACTCCCAAAAGCTAGCTCAAGAGAGAAGAGATTATCCAACTCTTCTAGGAAATATTTTGGCTACATTCTTAGCCAAATTGGGACATCTAACAAGAACATTTAGGCCCTGGTGATTTGTGGCAGTTATTTTTAAACCCCACTGCTCATTTTGTTGAGAGGTATCAACACGAGTTCATGATTACTACCATGTTCATTAACAAAGGCAGAGGTAGGTTGATACACTGCTGATCACAGTCTGACCGCAAACACTTAATTGGCATCCCAAATTGTGTCTGAACCATTTGGTAAAGTGGAATACTCATTAAAAAAAAAACCAAGTTACACTGGTACAATCATCAACGATGAAAAAACAAACTTATTACTAGATATGCAAGAAGTAGTAGC